TGGGATTTTCCTACTCTTCCTCAAAACTGAGAAAATTATACTTATCTCCTGAAATCTGTTCATGCGTTGCTTGGGTGGTTTCGGAAATAATTTATCCTTAATTTAGCGGAACATAAGAGTCTCGGCGCTAGGGAATCTATTGATAAGGTATATCTAAGATCATGTCTTAGCAGTTGCCAACAAGTCAGTAATTTTAAAGTGTCAAGAAGTAAGCCTCTGTTAATTTCATCTAATACATGACTTAATTTTGGATCCATTTTCTTAATTCTCGCAAGGAGCTAAATTTTAATGCAAAACTAATATGTTATTCAGGTAAGTAGCTCCCGGACAGACAAACCCAAATTCGTTACGACTTAACTCCTTCACCGTAACAAATAGGGGCACAAATAACTCCTTTTTTTTGTAGCTTTATTTTATTACCAATCATTTAGCTTATTGGTATTTTTGTTAAGTGAATTTTAAAATAACCACAGTAATTATAAATGAAACACTATACAGCAAAGAAAACACAATCTTAAGTTCAAATTCTAATTAACACAGAGTATGATACACAATAATTTCAATTAATAATCTACTCTTTTAGAAATGTCTAGGGTAACAAAATTGTTTATTTTATAAGTGACATGAACTTACCAGGACTTTTGGCAAAGGCAATGGAATTTGTATTAAAGTTTTTTAGTTTTAGCTAAGGAGCTTTGCGGTTGAAGACCACACGTACGAGTACAGAGCATAGGAGCATGACTGAACTCATCTCAACTCTTCATGTCAGACTTCAGCTCTGCCAGAAGGCGGACGCGTCGGCGTCAATTCTAGAACACCAATTGGTCACTACAGTTATGGTTACACATTAGTAATACCTAATACTAATAATTAATATACTATTATTATTATAGTTATAATAATCATGGGGAAACGATATAATATACAATATAATACATGAGAACGTACTTTTCGATTAATTCTGTACCGATCAATTATATCATAGTCGAACCTGCTTTATCTAGCTAGATAATAAAGTGGTTTCGCGTCTATATTATTACAGAACTTAATTTTAACAGGCCTTTTATTTTGGTATTATATATGGAGTGATGTATGGGTGGAGCGCCCGTAAACACTACAAATATTCTATTTGATTATTGACATTGTCGGCTAAACACAGCAGTGTTTGCTACAAATATTCTATATCGTTGTGTTACCTTGTGGGAACTCCAGCTGTGTTGCTTCCATACATATTCCTTTTGATAGTAACCATTGTGGGAACACTCAGCAGTGTTGCCTACACTAATTCTATATGATAGTGACATTGTGGGAAAACACCGCAGTGTCTGCTACAACTATTCTATATGATAGTTCATTGTGGACAAACACCAGCAGGTTGCTACAATCATTTCTATATGAAGTTACATTGTGGGGACACCATGCAGTGTTGATGCTACACTATTCTATATGATAGTTACAATTGTGGGGACCAACCAGCAGTGTTGCTACACTATTCTATATGATAGTACATTGTGGGTAACAACCAGCAGTGTTGCTATGTGTTACTATTCCTTGGGAGTCAGATAGGTGACCGGATAGAAGGAAGAAGGGAGAAGAGGGAGGGATAGAGAAGAAGGGAGAGCAAGGAAGGGAGCGGATTGAGAAGAAGGGAGACTGGAAGGAGGGGATAGAGAAGGAAGGGAGAATGGAAGGGAGGGATAGAGAAGAAGGTGAGAAGGAAGGGATGGGATAGTGAGAAGGGAGAAGGAAGGGTAGGGATAGAGAAGAAGGGGAGAAGGATGGGAGGGGATAGAGAAGAAGTGAGACGGAGGGTGGGGATAGAGTAGAAATTAGTTAAAGAGGGAGAATTATATCACAGACGAAGCTATGACGTCAGGACAGGCTATGTTGTCACCACCACTTGTGGTGGTGATGGCCCGCAGCTAAAAAACCAAAATATGTCACCTTGTGGTGGTGATGGACGCAGCTACAACACACTCATGGCAATAATGTGGAGGGGATGGCGCCAGCTACAACCACTCTATGTATTGTCGGTGGTGATGGCGCTGCTTACAACCCACACTATGTCAATTGTGGTGGTGATGGCGGCAGCTACAACAACAATATGTCACATTGTGGTGGTGATGGCGCCAGCTAAAACTCCACACTATGTCCCTTGTGGTGCGTGATGGCCGCAAGATACAAACACACACTTTATGTCAATTGTGGTGGGTGATGGAGCAGTTCTACGAGGTTCCTCAACTGGTCTGCTCCTGCGCCTCCAGCTAAAGCTTCAGTTTAGACTGCAAATTCTTCTGGGGGCATTGGTGGCGGAGGCCGGAAGCACTTTTGAGAGGGTCTTCCTTCTTCTTGAGACTGGTGGCGGCCCGGAGACAAACCCTGGGCTTCTAGTTAGGAGCAGAGGCTTCCGAGGTTGCTGAGCCTTGAGACCATCCTAAACTTTATCGATATTACAGTGTCCTCAGCCTGGGGTCAATGGTGGGTGCCGAGGTGCCATCTTTGTTCTTGTTTTACCCGAAGAGACTCTTGAATTAACAGGATGAAGAAGAGTTGTTAGATGGTGAAGGTGAGTTGTGTTTGGTCTTTAACAGAAGACTGTGTCGTGATCTTGTTGTTCACATATGTGTTAAATCTTTGGATTCATGGTCGTAGCGTACTGGCGGGAAACTTCCGTCATCTTCATCTACGATTACAACTTCCCTCCTTCTTTCCTCAATCAAGGGTCGTCTTTTGGGTGAGTGGTCGTCAAAGGTGTGGTCTTGGTAGGGTGCTGTCAATCATTAACATGTTCTGGTCGTCTAGGAGTGAGTCGTGGATGGATTACAACTACCAAGAAGCCTCTTGACTGGTTTAAGTCTGTTCTAGTGCTCTAGTCCTCGGCATCACGATCTCTTGGAATCTATAATCAGGTAAAATTCCAGATGAATCACATCTCTGAGGTGGTGGTGTCGTGTGCTGCGACCCAGTTCTCTGTGGACTTGTGGTCACAAACTTGCCATCACATAATCCGGGCTGTTCTTGTCTCTTGCTATCACGTTACCGTGTGATCGCATCGGCCTTGTTCATTCACCTAAACTAACATCTGCATCCGGGTAAGTCGACTCCACAATCGATGACTCCTGGAAGTGTATAACATATTCTGTGGGTGAAGTGGATGTCCCGTGCCTCCTTCAGAGCGTGGATCACATTCAGCATCCCCCTGGTAGCCTTGATCTAAACTTCCAGCACTGGTGGTCATGGCTGCTGCAGCACCTCCCCATGAAGCTTCAGTATCAGGGGTAACTTCGCCAGGCACTGTTGTGGCTAAGAGAAGTCGGGTTGTCAGCGGTGCCACCCGTCGACCAATTGATGATAGTCGCGTTAAATCAACACTGACGGTCACTTCCCGCAGATCTGAGATGGTCTGACATCGTTCTTCCTCAAGAACGTCATCGGAAACTTTGTTTTTAAGTTCTTCACGCTTCTTAAGTAATGCTTTCTTCTCCTTCTCTTCATCTTCTTTCTTCTGCTGTTGTTCAAGTTCTTCTTCATCGTGCTGGAACTGTTCTGTTTCTGGTTGAAGATGCGGTAGGTCGTGTTGGGGAACTGCCATTGGTAGAACTAACTTCGGCAGATGTTCGAAGTTCCCTAATAATAGCAGAGACATCATTCTTGAACAACTCTTCGACTCCCGTCACATTGGGGTCGGAATCCCATCGAAGTAGAGAAGCCCCCGAAGTCTCTCCCCGTCCTGAGGCTTCTGCAGGGAGAGACGTATCACAGACTTCGTCTTCCAGGGCTGCTACGTCTTCGTCTGACGGTGATCTACCAAGGGATGCTGATGCCGTGACAGTGAAGTCTGGCATCTGATCAGGAGTCAAGATCCCTAGGGATGATTCATCACAAGTAGGATCTTCAGGAGATCCCAGACTGGCGACATCGTCTTCCTGGTCATCATGACCTGAAGATTTTTTAGTCTGTGTAAACTCTCGAGGCTGCAGGGAATCTTGACTCTCTGGGGAAGTTGGAAGAGAAGAATCACGTCCCTCGATGGTGAATGTGGCATTCGATGCGTCAGATGGCCGGCGCCTTGTTGGGTTAGTTTCCTGAGAATGGGTTGAGGACGGCATTAAGCCTTGCCAGACAGAACTTTGACTGCTGTTTCGCACGATTAAGGACAAACCATCATCGTCTCCAATATAGTCGAGGTCTAGGAATACTTTACCGGCAGGTGCGAAGATACCATAACCAGGACGACATGAAAAGTATATAGTACCATTACGGGCCATCATTCTTACCCATGTCAGTGTTACAGCTCTACGCCACAACCAGTCTCATGAAGAGAAGGCCGTTCTGCCTTAGTAGCGTGTGTTTCCATGGTTTGCTCCGCCAACAACAACTCGTTTCTACGACATTCTCGGGAGAGGGTGAGGTTTATTGATTCACATGCTGAAACGTGTGATATGGAAGAGTCCCAACAGGGCGCGGGCCACGTATACTTGACTCACGGTAAATAAGACCGGTTTCACTACATCTTAATTGGAACTCTTGTCGATTTTTGCCAACTGTCTAGAAAATGCAGATTCGGTTGGAAAGCTTGAGCCCTTGAAGCCAGTCTCGTGAACCATATCTGTTCCAATACTCGCTTTTCTTCTGGACCTGGATCAGCAGACGGTGAACTTGGAAGTTGTGAAGACTGCCAATGGGCGACCTGGACGCTGATGCACAGTGACCCTGAGCTCTACCAGGACACTCACTCACACGACAATCGAGCAACTTTGGCGGATTATGGAAAGTCTGGACTCGTGGTTGGCTGGTGGCTGTTGGCAAATGGAAGGCACTTCCCTGATGGTGTGCGGGATTGGCTTTGATTTCCCTGGATGTGTCCATAGGCGGGGCGAGGTGTCTGGGAGAGGCATGAGTGCCTCGGGTATGGAATTCCAGTGAGGTTTGTAGTGTAGGGATCCTAGATGGAGCATGAGAAGGTGCTGTCGAGGTGGGATACGAGGGAGAGTAGCAGAAAAGTCGCACGTTGGGAATGCGACTTTCCCCTGGTGCCTGCAACAACACAGAGAAGCAGTGGTAAAAATCAATTACATAGCACCAACAATTATCACTATATTAATATACAATGGAGATAAATGGTATAAAATACCAACATGATGGAAAGACATACTGCAATTTTGTCTGGAAACAATATAGACAAGTACAGGCAGGTCCCGCTCTACAGCGCTTCACTTTATGGCGTTTCGCTAATACAGCACTTTCCAATTCTAGTCGTTCTTCATTTATTCAGACTTCCTACAATAAATATATTCACTATTCACTATTTGTGTACAGTATATGCATTTTTTAGGCCTAGCTCTAGAGTGTAAACATGCTTTTAAAAGTGAAAAAAGCATTATGTTCCACTTTACAGCGGTAAACCCACAAACTAACTGCTGTATAAGCAGAGGCCCTGCATAAATGAGCAAGACATGTGTTTTATCAATGTGATACCAACCTGGTAACAAAATAACAATGCATAATACCAAATAAACATGATTCCATAAGCAGAAGGAACGATTAGCTCTTTCGAAATGTGGATAAAGGAATCAGAAATTTGTCCAAGTGTCCTTTAAGCTATGTAAGTCGAGCGGTTCGATCCCAGGTCAGTTGCAGAAGTATATATCAAGTGTAACGTGTGTATACACAACTTCCAGATATTAAACTCAATCTTCACTAACCCACAAAGTCTATTGGTATTTTAATAAGAGTACACTGACAGTCTTATTAGAACTATGATCTATCGACAAGTCACCCCTCACAGGGGCTGTACAACTCTAATTGCAGTAAATACACTGGTGACTGGAGAGAGTCACATTGACCTGTATAACAGGACGGAGGTCGAGTCCACAACTCCATTCCTTCACCTCAGTGGACCCCACTCCCAGGGTTTAACGCTTAACACAGACATTATAGTATCAGTAGTTTACTTCCACAACTAATGGATAAATGTACAAGAAAAATGTGAATTAGAGAAAATTTACGTAAGAAAAGAGGAAGGAATACAAATAATTAATAAATTAAATAATAATTATTAATAATAATATTAATATTAATAATACTATTAATAATAAATATAGTGGTCCTGCAGGAGGATGAGAGAGTCCTCATGGCTGAGGTTAACTTTATGCTCTACTAAAACCATGGATGACTTTACTCCCTGTCAACCCTCCTGTCTCCCTTCCTCCCTGTCTCCTCCCTGTCTCCTTCCTCCCTGTCTTCTCTAGCTCCTACCTGTCTCCCTCCTGTCTCTCCTTGCTCCTCCCTGTTTCACCATCCCTTCCTTCCATACCCCCCTCCCTGTTCTACCTCCCTACCTGGTGTCAGAATCCCTCCATCCATTCTTGTCGACATCCTCCCAACCTTCTCTCATGTCTGTTATCCTCTCTCACTACCATCCTACCCCCTCCATCTCTCAACTCCATCTCCCCCTCATCTTCCTCCATCTCTCCCTCCATCTATAAATACAATTTCAACCTCCACTTATTCTGTCACTAAATTACCAACCTTCTATCTTTCCACAAACTCACACAGTAATCTCAGGGGGATGTTAGGAAGTAATTCTTCCAGTTCACAGAATTCGTATGGAAGTTGGATAACAATATAGGCTGAGTGCTGTAGTGGAGAAGGATCCTTACATTGATTTAAGAAGAGGTATGAATATTGCTCTTGGAGAAGGGAGAGAGTGGGACATTGTGTGCAACCTGTGCACGTGGCATGCGGAATGGTGAGGGGTAAGAGTGCAGCAAAAAACTCACTTCCAATAGTACATACATCGACACTAATATAATCTAATATAAACATAATCAAAATAATAATAATTATAAATTATAATAGCTAATGATAATATAATAATTAGTAATAATACTAATAATAATAATAATACCATAATAATAATAATATAATATTAATAATAATAAATAATAATAATATATAATAATAATAATAATAATAATAATATTAATATATTAATCATATTAATAATATTAATAATAATAATAATAGTAATAATAATGATAATAATAATAAATAATAATAAAATAGTACTAATAAATAATAATATTACTAATAATAGTAATGATAAACTAATAGTTATGATAATTAATAATAATAATAATAATTATAGCTAATAGAATAATAATAATAAATATATATATAATAAAAATAATAATAATAATAGTAATGGATAATAATAATAATAACTACATATAATAATAGATAATAAAAATAATAATATTAATAATCATAGTAATGATAATTAATAATAATAAATAATAATAATAATAATAATAATAAATTAATAATAATATAGTAATTAATAATAATAATAATAATAGTAATCGATAATTATAATATAATAAATAATAATAATAATAATAATAGTAATCGTAATAATAATAATAATACATTTATTAATCATAATAGGGTAATGATAATTTACTGATAATTTATAATAATAATAATACTCATATAAATAATAATAGTAATAATAATAGTAATAGTTAATATATAATATAATAATAATAATAATATAGTCACAGAATAATAATATTAATCTAATAGTACTGATAATTATAATAGAATAATACATAATAATGAATAACATAATAGTAATAATAATAATAATAATAACCGAATAATAATAATAATAAATAATAATATACCTCTTTAATGATATAATAATATAGTACTGATAATAATAGTAATAATACTAATAAAATATTAATAATAATAGTAACTGATAATCCTACAAATAATAATAATAATATACTAATATGTAACTGCTACTTATAAATAATACACATAATATAATAACTAATAATAATATCCTAATACATAATAATTAATAATAATAATATTACACTCATAATAGTAATGATAAACTTTTATAATAATAATAATAATAATAATAATAATACTAATAAAATACATCATATTAAATACTCTCTTCCATCACCTTATTATAAGGAGAATTTCAAAATAATAATAATAATAATTACTAATATAATAATTTATAATAAACTAGTATGATAGATTATAAACTCATAATAATGATACATAATCGTACTGACATACAATCCTAATAAAACATAATACACTAATAATTCAAAAATAATATAATCATACTAAAAATCACTAAGTAATGCATAACTAATAATAATCGTAATGATCTAATCGTCAAAATCCTCATACATAATCATCTACCACCACCACCACCACAACAACACCACCTCTACCATCACACCACCACACCACCACCACCAATACCCACTACCTCCCCAACCACTCACCCACCACCACCACCTACAAACCACCACCACCACCACCACACAACCACCACACTACCATCACCACCACCCCCACCACCACCACACCACCCACCTCCATTCCACACCACCACCACCACCCACCACACCACCACCACCACCACCACCACCACCAGCACCACCCCACCACCACCACCACCACACCCACCACCAACCACACCACAACCACCACCCTACCTCACCACCACCACACCACAACCCCACCAATACCATCACCACACCCCACCACCACCACCCACCAAAAATACACAACCACCACACCACCACCACCCACCAACAACACCACCATACCAACCTACACCACCACCCACCACCCCCACCACCTCCACCACACCACAACCACCACCACTACCATCACCACACCACCACCACCTACCAACAACCACCACCACTACCATCTCCACCACCACCACACCACCACCACCAACCACCACCACACCACCACACACACCACAAACACCAACACTACCACATCACCACCCACAACCACCAACACTACCTATCACCACCACCACCACCACCACTCCACCACACCAACCACCTCCACACTACACAACCATACAACAACCACCTCACCACCACAACCACCACCTCTTACCATCACCACACCAACAACCACCAACTACAATCACCACCACCACCCACCACAACCAACCACCCACTACCATCACCACCACCACCTCCACACCACCAACCACCACACCACACCACCACACCACCAACCACTACCAATCACCACCACCACCACCACCAAACCTCCACACCAGCCCACCACCACCACTACACCAACCACCACCACTACATCACCTCCAAACTCTTAATATATTCACAGTCACGCAAGCTGGATAATCATTACGGGTTTACCGCCCAGATTTAATCATAATTTAAAAACCAAACAAATATTTATTTAACAATGTTTTCAAATTATTATTATTATTATTATTATTATTATTATTATTATATATTTTTATTATTATTATTATTATTATTATTATATTAATATTATTATTATTACTGTTATTATTATTAGTATTATTTAGTATTATTATTATTTATTATTATTATTATTATTTTTTTTATTATTATTACTGTTATTATTATTATTTTTATTATTTATTATTATATTACTGTTATTATTATTATTATTATTATTATTATTGTTAACTGTTATTATTATTATTAATTATTATTATTATTTTTATTATTTATTATTATTATTATTAACTGTTATTATTATTATATTATTTTTATTTTATTATTTTTATTATTATTATTAATATATTCATTACAGACTATTACAAGGAGAGATAGAGTAGTTGCAGGTGTTGAGTTAGTCCTCTGTTACGAGTATAGAAAAACGTTGTCACAGCATTTAAGATTAACTATATTGGTCAAGGCTAAGTGTCAGCTTCGTTCAACACTTGATTGACTACATGTATCAATCACAGTCAGGCACTGTATGATAGTTACATTGTGGAAAACCAGCAGTGGTGACTACACTATTCTATATGATAGTTAAATTGTGGGAACACCAGCAAGTGTTGCTACACTTTTATTATATGGATAGTGACATCTGTGGGAAAATCCAGCAGTGTTGCTTAACCCGTCCCTTCCTATATGATACGTTACATTGTGGGGAACACTGCAGTGTTGTGCTACCCTATTCTATATGATAGTGACATTGTG